ATGGTTCTCTTTCTCTATTGTGAAATTTATAGTTGGCTGCAGTTTATTAAATTCCACAATCATGTTGTCAATATTTGTTTTGTTTATATCATACTCTATGATATAATATAATATAATATATGATATAAGTAAGCACCTGAAGATGGCATTATTATGCCGAAACATGTAGTGCGAGGGAGAGAAGGAGATAAATGAGTGTATGCACTGCAAGACGGTTTAAATAAATCATGTACTTTTGGTTCTCTGGTATTTAATATATTCATGGGAGACCCTATGAAACTTTAAAACATTACTGCCAAGTTGTCCATTTTGTGAACACTGTCAGCTGTACAAGTTTGTGTGTGAGTACAAAACCCAAAGCCTAACCCTTAGAAAGTTTTCAAATATTTATTTCTTAAAACTAAAAAGCCTAGCTTTTTTAGAACCAAGATCACAATAGCTGCATGCTGTAAGTAGTACAAGTAATCACTGGTCACCTGCATACACTTTTCATCCCCTGTCTGTGGCCAGTGGTTTACCATGGCTTTGTCCAAACTACCATATCTAACCAAGGTCAGATAGTAATATGCTATGACAAGACAAACTATTTCTCTTTAAGAATGTGCTTTTTTCCTGTTGCTGCATTTTGTGTGTCTGTGGATGTAGAGCCTTTCCTATTCATTTCTTTACAGTGAAACGCTGCAGGCTGCAATACTGTGAAAACTAGCCATGCTAGGAGGTAAGCCAAGAGCAGAGTTATCGGGTGTGAAAGTGTTTAGGGAAGTTTTTAGGAAATAATGAATCTTCGTTAAATTATTCATTGGTAATAGCTGTCCACCTAGTTGACTGTCTCTTGCGCTTCCTAGGAAAATGCATGTTTCCCATGCCAGCAATCTGAATTTGCTTAGATATGACCTTCTTTATCATGTCTGAAATGCTTGTGTAACCCCATGCGTTGTCCTATGTGTTTTTCTTTGTGCACCCACATGTTCCTCATTTCATGTTCCACGTTGCTATATTAACTAGTGACTGCCACAGTGAACATGCAGTTACTGTTGGTCTCTTTCAGACCTCAGATGACATTACATTGCAGCAAATATCACAGTCAAGTGGATAGCGCTTTTGTTTTGGTTCTGGAGGCCATGAGTTGAAATTTTAGTTTAGAGACACGTTTCTTGTGGTTTCCCTATGCAACTGCTGGAAAATACCTGAAACTAGACCACAGTCACCTTCTGCCATGTAATTTCCAGTTTATTGCGTGTTAATCCTCGTGTCATTTGCTGCTGTATAACTGGCAGCCTGTATGTATCAAGTTATTAGTGAATAAGGTGCTGCATTGCTGCATACTTCGCACATCAGTGCCTGAGTGACATGGTTGTAGGTCAAGCACTCATAATGAAAACATGAATAGATGTTCGGATTTTTGTTGCAGGTATCACACAGTATATGAATGCAGAAGATGAAAGTGGCAGATTTCCTCAAAACATTGATTACCAGGCTACACATATCATATCCAGCAAAACAGTAATCTTTATACTTACCACTGTGAGAACCTCAGATCTTACAACATGTGGATGAAATTTTAGGGACCTGATGACTTTCATCTATTCTCCGCATATTTGTAATTGATTTCTCATCTTTCAATTGAGTTTCAATTACTGTAGAAAATTGGCATAATTTTTCCATTACATACAGTCAACTCTCAATTATCCATGGTAATGAAGATAGAATGTAGCACAGATAATTATAAACAACAGCTAATCCAAACTTTAAACATACCCAGTGTTCACACTGCATTTAATCCCAAAAAGATGTATGTAATTATTGCTTACTGGTTGTGCTGCTTGTTTCTGAGCACTGAGACCAATATCTTCCAACAAAAGAAAGAAAGCTTTGTTCTGTGATAGTAAATGGGATGAGGTATGGGTAATAAGGTTATACAACAGAAAGTTGCGACAGGTGAGATGTTTAATCTACTGTCAATTGTCATGAAGCATCAGTGATACATCATAATGACACACATAATGTGCTATACTTAAAAATCATTGCTGGAACTTATAATCCATTGCCGATGGGTTCTGAAAGAGTTCACAATGCAGATGATCCACACAGTTAACCAAGTAACTGCCGTAATGGATTCAAATTAATTTTCTTGTAACTTTTATACTTTATCTAGAATTCAAAACGAGGACGATTCTGCTTTGAGCTGCGGATGACAGCAGGTCATAAATCATACAGTTTGGCTGCAGAAAATGAATTAGAATTGCAAGATTGGCTGAGTAAACTGAATTCTGTTCTTCAGCAAAATAAAGTGCAAGAGGAGAAGAGGGCTGCTTCATTGGAAAGAGGTATGCACGTTTATAATATAAGAAGATGGCGCATGATGCCAGCAAATATCCACGTCTTGCAAAATGACATATAAAAGTAAAAGTAAATTTATCCTTGTGATTAATTAATTATCATTCCATAAAGATGTATGAGAAAATGGAGGTGAGTGTTCAGCTTGATGTCCTGGCTGCTATAGCCTGGAAAAAGAGCCCTGCAACACCCATTGGATAGGAGGCTGAATGGGCCCCAGAGCCAGCCTAGATGCTGTAGAGAAGAGAAATATCTTGTCCCACTGCTAAGAATGAAACCCCAATTACTCGTTCGTCCACTCTACAGTCTGTTTGGTATTCACATGCTTTCCAGTTTGCCAGTCATCCTACCGTTCAGAGCTATGTAACTGAGATACTGATAGCGCTGTAAAATAACCAGCCATTAAACCATTGATTATTTCCCTACGATGAATTCTATGAAGTATGAACTGTGCATTCTTAAATATTGTCACATGTATGAGTGAGTATAGATGGGGTGTGGATTGGTGACTTGATTTATTGGCCACTTACACACTCACGACTCATGACTAAACTTTGCAGATCACTGATGCACACAGACTAGTCTCTTCAGGATATTACACTCTACACTAGCCGTTTCCTGGCAATGGATTTCAATGCAGGAACTGTAACAGTCTCACTAAATGGCACACTCCACATATCACACATAAGGTCTTCTCTGCACAGCCTACTTTCAAATGAGCACTTTTGCAACTAACTCGTGGCCATTTCACACCAACCTCCTAGTCTACTCTTCACTGCCTGACTATCAACTGAGCACTCTTGCAACTGACTAGGTGCCCCAAACTGTCCCTGTTATAACATCTCAGCATGGACCACATAGGAAACACAGCTGTTCTATTGTTGTGTCTGGATTCATTGCCACAAAGATGTGTTTACTGTACCATTGTGTAGCAATGACCACGGTGTGGACCACAGGAAACACTGTTCTTCTGTTGTATCATTGTTGCATTTGTGTCTATTCCTGTGGGAACATGTTTAGCAAGCCATTGCATAGAAACAGCTCTGGTGTATCTGCTTAAGATTGTGCTTAAAATGCAAGAAAATTCTTGTGTGGCTGAAGTAAGTGTGTGGCAGGAGGAATTCTCCTATTGTATGCTTTGTCAGTGCCCATCTCAGACTCGGCATGCAGTGGAGATCTGCATGATTAGAGCAAAGAGATATCAGGAGGGCCTCGCCCCAGTTAGGATAGTTATGGCTCTTCCATTAGAGTTGGGGGCCGTTTGAAGTGCTGTACTGAGATGGGGGCGCCTGGAAGTTGTCCTACCCATGTCTATACCAATATGAGGCGTGATAAGTGATTGTACAAATTATTTGAGCGTAAAATTATTTTTTAATCAAAATATTGTATGTTTCAGCAAGTAATACTCCACCTCCTTCCCCTCAGCCCTCACAGATGTATGGGACTTTGAAGGGACTTGAGCAGAGCATGAATCCTCAACTGATTAAGTATGCTCGTGAAACAGATGTATCCATAGCGCTAGCAAGAAGGGAGAACCGTCGCAGGCTGTTCAGCGTATACCCTCACATGCCTGTAAGTCTCCATTTTATCTGTTTTACTCAAAATAAACATACTAGAACTTAGTATCAGTTAGTTCCGGTCTCATGTGCAACACTAATGTTCTACCAAACTTATTAAAAGCTCTTCATTTTAAAGTTTTACACTAAATGTTTTGACCAATGTGGTCATCATCAGGTGTTAAAAATTATGGATGAGGAAACTGCTGTCTTCTGTATCATTGCTTAGGTTGTTAATGTACAGTCCCTTCAATGCGCATGCGTGTTTGAGATAGTGGGTTGTGTTCCTTGTTGTGTTATGTTGCGTGCCTTGTTTTCAGATTAGTGTTGCATGTGAGACTGTGGAACTAACTGATACTAACTGAAAAGTACTGCAGAATGCTACAATATAAAAATACCAGAACTTAGACATGATCTTTATAAACTTCAGACAAAATAATTTGAAGGAGTGATTCTCCATTACTCACTGAATGTCATGATTGAGTGTGCACCCCTGTCTTATTTTAGGTGGTTCCAGGTGCAAACCTCAGGCTGGACATAATCTGTGGTTTTATTCAGTCTGTCCAGGCAAATGCTGAAAAATACCTTAGAGAATCCTGTAAACACCTCATACCACATGCAATATCATTCTTTATTACAAATTATTTGTCACCCTATAGTCTTAAGTTGTTGACAGAATTGTTGAATAAACTGTAAATAAATACATAAATCCATGTCTGCCCCCCCACAGCAACTGTTGAAATGTATTGTCTATAAACAGTGTGAATGGTTGTGTAAAATGTGAAATAACAACCACATATCAGTTTGTATGTTGATTGAAAATTAATTTTATTATTGTGTATGGTACTGCTGTAATAATCAAATCATTGCAAACCCACTTATCTGGTCTTAATGAGTGGAAGGGCTAGGGCCAGCAAGTGTAGAAATTGAATTTGTTCCTTAATAATCTCTGCTTCTCTTTTCTTTGACTTCTCCTCAGATATCAAACAGAAAATATCTTACATAGTTTGTTCAGAAAGTTTTGAAACTTTTGAAATAGTGCGCCAACTCAAAGTCTTAGCAGTGTTGGATAAGTTGTGCTGCCTAATGGTGTTTCCTAATTATCATCCTTTTTGGCCACATCATCCTGCTGTGATTAGTCATCGCCCTAGAGCTATTTGTTCATGTGCATGTAGAGTGTGTCATGTGATATTCAAGATTGCTGATATTCATGAGCAGTATAACAAAATTTTTGATTCGAACTGGGGAAAATGTTTGTGGAGACTCGTGAAATGATGAAAAACGTTTATTGTGTTCAGTGCATGAGCTGTACACGTTATGAATGGTTTAAGTAATTGAAGGATGGTCGGCAGTGAACACATGATGAGCTGCCTTTGGGATGACCCTCGTCATGTGATGATGCTCATGTTGCACAAGTTTGTGAAATTTGTGCACTCTAATCGTTGTTTGTCAGTGTGGGAAATAGCAGAATAGAGCAACATATCAATAGGATCATGTCATGAAATTCTTATGACAAAATTAGAAATGCATCGGGTAGTTTGAAAGTTTGTCCCATGACTTCTGAGACAGGTTCAGAGAGACAGTCACACTGCCATCTGTCAGGAACTTTTTGGTCGCGCTACTGAGGATGAGAACTTTCTGAATAGAATTATAACCAGTGAAGACACATGAGATTATGGATACAATGTGGAAACAAAAATACAGTCTTCACAGTGGGTTGGAAGAAATTCTCCGAGACTGCAAAGGTCAGGTCAAATGTGAAAGTCATATTGAAATTTCTTTTTTCTTTTGACATCGAGGGTGTTATGCATTATGAATTTGTACATCAGGAGCAAACAGTGAATCACTGATATTATCTCAGAGTGCTGAAACATATGAGAGAAAATGTTGCAAGGAAAGAACAAGAACTCTGGTTCCTCCACCATGACAGTACACCAGTTCATGCATTGCTACTGATTCGTGACTTTTTGGCCAACAAGACCACAGCTGTGCTTCCTCAGCCACCCTGCTCACCTGACCTGGTTTTTCTTATTTCCAAATCTGAAATCCCCTTTGAAAGGACGATGATTTCAGACAATTCAAGAGATTACAGAAAATTCGTAGATGGAGCTACATGTGATCCCAGAAGTGGCAGCAGCATTGGGAGTGTTGCATCAGTGCAGGAGGGGAGTACTTTGAAGGCGATAAGGCTCACTCAGTTTCAGGCGCATGCAAAAAATTATCAAAAAGTAGTTCTAGAGCTTTCTGAATAGACCATATGTATACACATTATACAAAATAAGAGGGAGTGATTTATGTCGTGTAAAACTCTGTCTGAAACATCTTTGGTGGTACAACATATCTGTAGTAGGTTACCTTACGAAGGAAAAGTCATGCAGTTCAACAGAATCTCCTGTATGGCGGTTTTGGTTCTTATTGTATGTTGGAAATAGAATCTGGTAACTTGGTAATGATGACATAATGGCCTGTATCTCCATCTGATGATGACACACCCTTATAGATGCTTTAGATTTGCAATATGTGATTGCACAGAACAAGCGCAGTAGCATGTGTAAGAGCATTTTCTCTTGTGCAGTATCTCGGAAGAAGAACTTTTCTGTGACTTGCAAACTGACCCAACTGTTCTTGACCCCTGGCAATAATTATAGTGATGGCCCCCTTTTAACACTACCCATATAATGCCAATTTGTTATAATGCTCTTCATTCTAGAACCAGTTATTGTAAGAAACAAAATTTGACCTCAAATGTACTCATATATTTTCTGAATAAGATCAGTGCTGACGTGGATATAATTAAAACTGACCCCAACTTTGAATACAACGCTAAATTGAAGAGATTTATGATATCTTACCCTGGGGTTGACTCAGCCTCTAACATAAATGAGTGTCAGGAATCTTCCTGGGTGTAAAGGGTGGCTTGCTCGTAAGGCTGACACCTGTGAGCCGGTTGTATAGAAAATGTGGGAGCCTCGATGTCTCTCAACCCTATGTGCCTCCATGGCCTGTTACAGGGATAGCTTCAAGTAAACAGAGTGTAAGAGAATCAGCATCTGTTGCTGAACAGTAAGGGGATTGATTACTTTACCAGATTATCACTTCCAGTTCTTATGTTCTGATATTCTTGCATATTCCCCTTACAGCATGTGAAGAATGGCAGTACAAACTACTCAGAACATGGTGTGGAACCATATCGAGAACAGTTTGGACAGAGGCTTCAAGTATGCTGTGAAAGCATAAGATTCCGCCTTCAGGCTCCTATCGATGGTGAGAAGGAAGCATTGTGCCAGGTCTGTCATATGTCCTATAGGACATATTTCTGGTGTCTGTGGCATTTAATAAGTCAGTGTACAAACCTTCGTACAGTAGTAACATAAGAATTTCAGAGTAAAAAATGATATGTACAGTTATTTGCATGTGAATTATTCTGTGATGTGAACCCATTGAAGACTTCTTTACGTGGCTTCTTGCTTGCCTATACAATTATATTTAATTGGCAGCAGGTCCCACTGTTAGAGTGTTATCTTATTGTTAAATCTTCTTTATATATTGTAACATATTTATGGCTGTGACTAATAAACAGGGTTTGGAATGGTAAATGGATTTATTAACACCTTATTTATAATCACTTGTAATCACAATAAATTATAGTGCTATCGCTAATCTGCCCATTTCACAAATCACTGGGGTACACAAATCACTAGTTGTATCCTGGCAACAAGATTTATAACAGTCTCACTGTTAACTACAGCACGCATAGTCTTCTTTTCATTCGCTAAGTCTTCACTTCACAGGCTGACTTTCAACAGACAACTGAACTGTGGCTGAACTGTAAATTGTTGTTGTCTCATTGTATAACCTCAGGTCGGACTGCAGCACAGAAAACACATCCCTTGCCCAACAATGGATATATGTGAACCACATAGAAAACACCTGTTGCAACATGGTTCTGTTGTTGCATGTGTGTATTGGGGCGTTGCCTAGAAATGGGTCTACTCTGTTATTGGTTGAGTATTTGTTCTGGGCTTGTTTACTTAGGTGTTCCCTATCAGTGGGTCTACATGTCACAGTATTAATATGTGAAAGTATTTTGTGGTCACAGAACCACCACAGAAGAGCTATTTGATGAAGACAGTAAAATACTATACTAATTTTACTGCAAAATTTAAAAATGTCTTAGAGATATTTCAGAAGGGAGAAGAGCAACCATATTGTGAGCAAACAACAGCTACATGTGTGTGTCTGCATGGAAGGTATATCATTTAGAATGAAACCCAAATAAGAGTTTTATATTGTGGGACACAAAGTCAGAAGCTGTTCTTCCCATGTAATGGGATCTCCCAATTTTCCTTGTAACATTCTAGACAATACAGCTTCTTCGTTTTGTTTCTGTCTTAACACAACAACCATCAGACTGTCATTCACATTTCACTGAGTGTAATGAGTTTATTGCTCTTAATAGTATGACAAGTGTGCTACGTGTTTCAGCTTATAAAGCCATCATCACCAGTGCACATTAACAAACATTTTTGAAATACTGAATTACGCTTTATATGAATTCATATATTACCATATAATAACTATTACTAATGTACCTGACTTTCCACTCAGTTAATACAAGGGTAAGTCAATAATTAAGTTACAAATTGATATAGAACTTAAACAAATAAGAGTACTGATTTGAAAAATGCTTTTATTTCTCAACATAATCTCCCTGTGCATCGAGGCACTTGTCCCATTGTGTCACAAGCGTCTGAAAACCAGCAGCATAAAATTCTTTGGCTGTTGGAACCAGGCGTGGCCTACTTCATAATGCATGACAGGTTAGGTTTTCACAAAGTTTGCATGATGGGTGCTGCGCATAGTGACCCGACAACACAAAATGCAAAGACTGGGTCTGGCATTACAACATCTCAATTGCTACGACGATGAAGGACACGATATGGTAGCCCAAATTGTCACGGATGATGAGTCTTGGGTTTACCATTACGAGCCTGAGACAAAACGTGTGTCAGTGCAGTGTAAACATCCTGCATCGCCTGCCAAGAAAGAATTTAAAGTGACACCATCCTCCAGGAAAGTGAAGCTCACAGTCTTCTGGGATCATGAAGGCATCCTGCTCACTGCATTCCAGCCTCAAGGACAAACCGTAAATGCCGACTCCTACTGTAACATCCTCAGGAAACTCTGTAAGGCCATTTAATGGAAGCATGCAACCTGTCATGCATTGTGAGGTAGGCCATGCCGTGTGAACACGCTGGTTCCGACAGCAGCCGAAAGAATTTTATGCTGTTGGTTTTCAGGGGCTTGTGAAATGATGGGACAAGTGCCTCGATGTACAGGGAGATTATGTTGAGAAATAAAAGCATTTTTCAAATCAGTGCTCTTGTTTAAGTTCTATATCCATTTGTAACTTACTTATTGACTTACCTACATACATTCGACTTTCATGTGAATTAGTACAAGCTTTATAAAATACATTAAAATTGGAATGAAAGTTGTACATTCAAATGGATGCTTAGCGATGTAGATAAATAATTACAAAAATTTAAGTCATAAAATATATTGTGTTGTTATGGCGTATTAACACATTTAGACATTGAATTAAAATTGTTGCTCATTATATTTATGGTACTTGTCATGCCTAAATATCGTTTTATATATATATATATACTATTTATTCTGGTGTCTATTAGCATAATTATAGCGCTATAATATGTAATTATCTTCAGATGTTGTTAAATTTTGATCATGAGCGGGTGTGTTTTATTTCTGCTCCCACCCAGTTTCCTTATGGAGCAGCTGCACTGTTCAGAATTGGTTGTTGCAATGTCCTATAATGTTTTATTCTGTGTTTTCCATGATCTGGTTTTCTTTATTTGTATGGGTTTATCCACCTCTTGCGTTTCCACATCCGGCTTCGCTGTGATGCATTCCGTGAAGATTCTAGACAGTGTCATGTTTGTTGCTAGGCTCCAGTTGCCAGTTCTGTAGAAGCTGTACAGGTGTGAGCATGGTGTATTCATTAGCAGAACATGTGTTCTTAATGAAATATTACTTCACATCAAGATAATTTGGCGCTGTTCGTGAAAAATTTAGTGATGCACATCTTCACATGGAAGTATCAAATAAGGCAACAGTTCTGACCTTTTGTAGTTCGGGTTTCATCTTATATGGTACATCCTATATATAATGACTTTTAGATAGTAAAGCATAGAACTTGGAAACAGCCTTCTCCTTTGCATGGAGAGAATGAGCTTTTTTAATTTTATAAAAGTGTTGTCTTTGTACAGATGCACTATTATTTGCAAATTTTATAACCTAGTTTAACCAGTTATAATCTTAATGATGTTTTATTTTAATATACAAATTCTTTAGATCTGCAAGTAATATGTATCAGTGGTTGCCACGGACAGAGCGTCAAGTAAGTTGTTGATATATTGTTTCAGGTTGAACCATATTTCACAACTCTGGCACTGTTTGATGCAAAGCAGGGTAGGAAACTGACAGAAAATTTCCATTTTGATGTAAATCATCCTCAGGTTCGAAATATGGTGCCTTGTATATCTAAAAATGGCGCAGAGGATAAACCTGAAACTTTATTACCGTCCGAGCTCCAACAGGTACCAGAGGAGTGGCTCATGTATCCAAAACAGGTGAGATAAGTCCACACAGTGTTAATATTGTCATGATTTTAGTGACCAGACTTAAGATTTGTATTGGTAATTGGATTTATTGAACACTTACAGATTGTAACTGCAAGTAATTATAGTGCTCTCACTGATTCAAGCATGTGAGTTTCCATTACAGCACACACCAAGTCTTCTCAGTTTATCTTCGCTAGGTATTGCTTGGTAATGGATGTCAACAGTACACACACTACTGGTTGCATGAGAAACCATCTTACAGGAACCCAATGCAATAGTAAAAAAAGAAAACGTTTTTTTTTTGTTTCCATTTTTGCCTCAGAGTCTATGTATGTGGCATAGTAGATTGATAGGTGAAAGATTTTGGATGTGCTTTGTCATAGTCACTGATTTAGCTAACCCCTACTGTAATAGAGCATGTGTCAGGGAATGGTGGCTGGGAGAAATGCCATGTCATGGGTGTACATACATTGCAAATTTATTTTTGGATAGCTTTATAAAAACTATAAATTTCTTTAAAATTTTTGCTAATTGGATGAGAATTCTGGACACTTGGATACCAGGTAACTCATAGTTCATTGTGCAATGAAACCTCCATGTAAGGTTTCTTTGGGGGCCACTTGATCTGAGCACTAAACTGAGAAAAAATAATAAATGAAAGGAAAATTTAAATCAGTGAATGTTAAAGGGGGTTGCAGCATAGTACAGAAATGAACTGTTTGAAGATGATAAGTGGAGTGGGACATCAGGAGAACAAGAAGTTGGGTCTGAAGAAAATAGATTTCTAATTCATTAATAGTTTATTTAAGGATGGTGTCATCACATAGATTCAGGGTGTTTGAAAACAGGGTACCGAGGAGAATATTTATACCCAAGATGGGTGAAGTAATAGGTGGCTTTTGAAATATGCATAATGAGGAGATTCATAACTCATACTCCTCATCAAATGTAATTAGAATGAATAAGTCAAGGAGGATGAGACAGACAGGCCATGTTGCATGACTAGAAAAGAGGAGGAGTACGTATAAGGCTTTAGTAGAAAACTCTGAAGGAAAGAGGCCACTCACTCACTCACTCACTCGTGGAGCTGAGCCCTTCTTGAGGAGCCGGCAATCATACAGCTATTCAAGGGTTTCTCAGCCTTTTATGGAACCAGAAGGTTCATTATCGTGTTCACAAGAGCCCTCCACTGGTCCCTATTCTGAGCCAGATCTATCCAATCCATACCATCCTATCCTGTCTCTCTAAGATCCATTCTAATATTGTCCACACACCTATGCCTTGGTCTTCCCTATGGTCTCTTTCCTTTTGGCTTTCCCACCAATATCCCATACGCATTCCTCGTCTCCCCCATTCGTGCTACATGACCTGCCCACCTCATCCTCCTTGACTTGATCATTCTAATTATACTTGGAGAAGAGTACAAGTTATGAAGCTCCACATTATGCAGTTTTCTCCAATCTCCTGTCACTTCATCTCTCTTCGGTCCAAATATTCTCCTCAACACCCTGTTCTCAAACACCTTCAGTCTATGTTCCTCCCATAATGTCAGAGACCAAGTTTCACACCCATACAGAACCACAGGCAAAATTATAGTTTTGTATATTCTGATTTTTATGTTTTTGGACAGCAGACAAGAAGACGAAAGATTCTGGACTGAATGGTAGCATGAATTACCTGAGCTCAATCTTCTCTTAATTTCCTTCTGAATCAGGTTTCGATCTGTTATCGTTGTTCCCAAATATCTAAACTGTGCCACATTTTCAAGACATCTGTTTCCTATCTTTGTGTCATGATTTTGCCCTGCATTTTGGTGACGAGACAGTAACATATACTTAGTTTTCTGTGTGTTTACATCTAGACCATCTAGACTTCCGTCAATTAAAGTATATGACTTTACCATATGAATTGTTTAGACACATTTTAATCAGCCTAACTAATTTCAAGGGTACCCCAAACTAACAGAATGTTGTACAATACTTCCTGCCTAACTGAATCATAGGCTGTCTTGAAATCTGCAAATAGCTTATGTACCATCTCATTGTATTTCCATTTTTCTCCAGTATCTGATGAATGCAAAAGATCTGATCTGTAGTTGTCTCTTTTACATTGAAACCCACACTGATGATCCCCAATAATTTCATCTATATGTGGACTTAACCTTGAGAGAAATATATTGGATAAAATTTTGTATGAAGTTGAGAGCAGTTATATCCCCTAATAATTAGTGCAGTCAGTCTTATCACCCTTCTTGTGAACTGGTACAATAATAGATTCCTTCCATTGATCAAACAATTTTTCCTTAGAATGTAATATTTCGCCTCCTGCTTGAATAAGTTCTGCCAGAATTTGAACACTACTTGGCGATTTGTACCTTTTCAACTTTTCAGTAGCAATTTCTACCTCAAAATGGCTAGGATCAGGTAGTAACGCCTCAGCCGTATGGATTTCTAGCTGCTTAACGTTACTGAGAGAAGTAGTTCTTCCACTAGGAAGACATAAATATAGATTGGAGGATAGTACTAAAATGGATATCAGAGAAATAAATTGGGAGGTTATAGAATGGATTCGTGTGTCTTAGGATAGAGATCAGTAATGGGCTCTTGTGAACATGGTGTCTAACGTTTGGAATTCATGAAATGCGAGAAGTGTCTTCAGTGACAGAGCAGCTGTTGGCTTCTTGAGAAAGACTTGGCTGCATGCAGTTAGTTGGTTAATGACATTGTCAGTAGTTCACTCTCTGTAGTGCTGAATGATAGGATGTGAGTAATGAATTGGAATGATTTGGGAGGAAGCAGTCATATCCTGATTTGAGGTACTATACTGGCATTTGCCTAGGGGGATTGAGGAAACCCACAGAAAACCTTAGTCACGTGTTCTGGATGAGATTTGAACTGGACATATTCTGAGGTAAAAGTTAAAGTTGTCCCTGTGCTTAACTGATTAAGCACTATTCCATGAAGATGTATGGGGGAGTAGATGTATAGATGCACATTTTCTTGACCTTGGCATTAGTTATAGGCAAGTGGTGAGCTGCACGCCCCAGCCGCTTTACTCCCCAGTGCAAGAGACCCGGTACCCATTGGATAAGAGGCTGAGTGGGCCACAGAGCCGGTCTGGACGGTCTGGATGCTGTGGAGAAGAGAGCATTCTTGACCCTACTGCGATTTGAGCTCTGACCCCTTGGTCATTTAGCCCATAGCCAGTTGCTATACTGACTATGCTATCTGTGCTTGGACATATCCTGAATACAAAAGTGTTACTACTTGCGGTAACTGAATTGCTACATTTTTGTAGATTGCATTACATTGGCATAAGATGAGTGTGAGAGTTGAGGTTCTCACAGCGATATTATTATTATTATTATTATTATTGGAGGGGGTGGGTTTCCCCATGCACTGCGACCAGTTTGATCTATTGTGCGTCCCCCTATAATCTTCTACCAGCCTCTATACCCTACCGGTATTGGTGCTTACCATCAGTCCCTACTCAGCCAGCGAGGTCGGCCTCTACTGGCTCAGAGGTATCTCAATGCTTCCCCCATCTATCAGAGGTGTTAGAGACTACTTGTTGGGCGGGAAACATCCTTGAATTTGGCTCAGTGACCTCCTTTGGAGATATGAGGTTCTTTTACGTGCCGTAAAGTTACGACATGGGACACACGGCTTAAAGTCCCTCCCGGAGGACTTGTTCCCTGAATTTTTCTGCCCTTAAAAATTCCACGACCTCTGCCAGGTTTGAACCCGCGTACCACGAGTCATGAGGTGGGAACGTGACCCCTAGACTACGGAGGCCGCTTTCTCACAGCGGTAACTATGAAGATTAGTGTAATCTGGGATGCGATGTCTTGTAGTCCAGTAGATGTTTACCACCATTCTAGAGGAACGTAACCTCCACATTCAGGTTAGGAGGTAAGCTGACTGGATGCGTGGTATAGATACAAAGAGACGTGGCCAGGACTGGGACCCTGAGTGACACAGTGGCACTAAGGAGATTGTTGAAGGAATCTGAGGCCCTTGTACCAAGAGTAAAGAGACTGGAGAAATAATGTCTCTTAGTAAACCTGTGGGTGGTAGATGGAAGTCTGGAGAGAGAATTGAAACATTGCTCCTTAAAGGGCCCATCTTACTCTCCTATCGTGATGCTTGAGGCAGCTCATTCCTCTGAAATGTCAGTGAATATCTACCGGACTACACAGCACCATCACAAAAGACAGTAACCTTCTTAGCTTTGGATCAGATTCATCAGCAGAATTTTATTTAGCACTGTTTAACTTCTGGGTCAGGCAGGTAGCCTCGTTTTAGTTGAGTTGAAAAATTTATCAGGTTATGTGTTATGTGTATGTGAAATATAGGTTTCTGATTTATGAGCAGAAACTGAAATCTCTTTTTGTAGATTCAGGGTGTCTGGATGAAAAATATCCAAAATAAAATATATACAGTGCATACAATCAAGTGCGCGCCGCGGCTGCAATTTGCCGTGAGTCATACCACCGCNAGCCGCGGCGCGCACTTGATTGTACGCACTGTATATCTTAATAAGCATTTATTATACTGTCACATGTAGGTTGGTACGCTTGACGAGAATGGTGGGTTCTAGTTCGGATGATCGGATTTCTTAGCACTTTGGTTACAGCCTCTCTTAATCACACTTATAATACAGGCAGTACAGCACTTTTCACTGATTTTCACACTTTATAATTCACTTCTTACATACACACTAGTCCTCTCTTGGCAATGCAATTAAAACACAGGAACTAGCACTTCAAATCACTCCAAATATCACACATGAATAAAGCCTTCTAATCACACCCCAGGTCTTCACAGGCCGACTTCTTGTATTCTTCTGTACTCCTGGTTTCAATTTGCTCTGTTCCTATGTTTCCACCACACTATTTCTTCTTCTACAACAAAATCAGGACTAAGAACTCAGAATTTAGGACTCTTGTCACTCACTGCTAGTTCCAATTCGCTCTGAATGTGTCAAGTCGAAGTCACATTGCAACTGACGGTCAGTCAGACAGTCAGTCAGTCAGTCACTCAGTCACTCACCCTTAGTGTCGAGCCCAATCTGGGGCTTATAACCAGATATTTATTACTGTTAAACAGTTTCGGTCCTGTTTTTGTGGGGCGCTCTCTCTGATGAGAGGACGGGTCTGTCTTTGGTCAGAGTCATAGTCTGCAGTAGTAAGTCATTTGTCATAATGTAAAGGATATTTACATTTTACATGTTAAACTTGTTAATAAATGTATATAAAATATATACAGGGCCTCTGTCAGTCCAGGCTCAGTACAGCAGATTATGCCCTATTTCTGGTAGCTTCCACTACAATGGCAACAACACATTTTCATTGTTGATGACACAGACCTCACAGAAAACACATCACGTGATGTCTTTGTCAACCCGCTGGCACACTGACTGTTGCCTAGCAACAATCTATAAACATCATCCCATTGTTATAACGCACTCAACTGAAGGTTGTTTACACATTGTTGCCTAGAAACGGTCTGTCCATCCATGTTACAATACACATTTATGGGTTACGCCATTACAAAAGGTAGCTATCAAAGTTTTTTTCCTGAGTGTATAACTTTCTCAGTAAATTTCAGTGTGGGCTCCCTTGGTGGCACATCAAGTATCCAGATGATATTCAACCTCATTCTCCATTGCTTGAAGCATGTTTGGTGTTACCATAGCCACAGCATCCCTTATGCGGGCTTTCTCAAGTTGAAAGTCATTGATCTTAACCTGGTAGACAGTGTTGTTTGCATAACCCCACAAGAAATAAATCCAGTGGGTTTAAATCTGGTGACCTAGGTGGCCAAGTGATTGGTCCACCTCTGCTGATCCATCTCCCAGCCATCTCTCTGTCCACATGATTTCTAACATGGTGGCAGAAATGTGGCGGTGCCCCATCTTGTTGGAGGATAGTTCGAGGTGGTAATTGGGGCAGCACATACAGCTCCAGCATGTATATGTACGGACGTCCCATCACATTCTTTTCTGATAAGAAAAACCGTTCATTCAACTTGTCATGCATTAAGCCAGCCCACAAATTCACTTTGGGGCTGCCTCTCTCCTACTAAAATGTGACATGTGGATTTTGACCTCCCCAAATCCTGCAGTTGTACCTGTTTACAGCTCCATTGTCGTGGAACATTGCCTCATCCTAGAAGCACGTTTGGCAGAGGAAATCGTGTGATGTGTCAGCTCTTCCTAGCATGTTCACAGTGAAGTTAATGCATGCTACTTGGTCACTCAGTTTTACTGCATGAATCATTAGAATCTTGTATGCTTTTAGACAGAGCCTTTTGTGTAGCACATCATGCACTGTTGAACATGGAATTTGTAACTGCAAGCTAGCAGCATGAGTTGATTTGCGCAGACTTTGCCGGAATGCGCTCTAATGCATTTGACATTTTCTTCAGAGGTCCTTGTCTTTCCAGGAGATTTTACACACAGCAGCCTTCAGTTAGTTGTCGCAGAACTGAATGCTTTTCTGTATTTGATTGATGTCCATATTATGTTCTAAAATGACACTGGAGAGCTGTAAGAGATCACAGCTCTGCTAGCTACAACATGTGTTGAACCTGTTCCTATGGTATTGACATCTTTACCGAGCTCACTGAAGGTCACCAGTATGCACATGCACTTAAGCCAGGCATGATAAAAAAAACTTTCAGAGTTTTCCTTTCTGATGACATAAACCAGATACATGTATTACAGTTAGTTTCCAAGATATATATCATCATCATCATCATCA